TACGCAGGCGGGCCACTATATCTTACGCAGCCTCGCAAGAGCTACACCCACCCGCCTGAGAAAACAACCTCACCAAATAAAAAAAAATCCCCCTGCCACCACCCCGACCCACTGCCGCCCTCCCCCACCGGCCCCTCCCTCCGGCCGCCGGCTCTCCTCCCCCTTCCCCTCTGGCCCCTCCTCCGTCCAACGCCACCGCCAACAACAGCCGGCTCCCCTCCTCCAGCCGGATCAAAGTTCACAATCTAGATTTATTTCACAAACACACAAACATAGAACATCAGGTATTGAATATTATTTGGTTGGAAATCCATGCTTCCTATGCGGCAATACAATCACAGTAGGGATAAGCAAGCTACCTCAGCGATCATACCCATAGGGTAAGACGCCAACGCATCATTTGTTGGGCTATCAAGGATTGATACTCCAATACCCTACAATATATAAGTGCTACTACTAGGTAGTTCCATTGGTTGCTCTCACAAACCGAGGCCAAACAGTTTAACGTGTGACCTAAGCATGCATATTTACAACAAAACATTATTTTGCACATATAGGAGGAAACATGGTCAAAGGTGGCTTGCCTTGGTCCTGCGGTGGTTCTTCCTTGTCAAGAACAGCTTCTAGATTATCTTCCGGTAGCGTGAGATAGAGTAAATCAACACAAAAGCTACTAAGTTTGCTACAACAATGCAAAATAAGGTTGCCATTAGGTAGATCTCATTGTTAGAAAAATTGTGAAAGTAGAACGGAGTAAAACAGAGCTAATGTTTTCAAGATATTAATATTCGAAGTTTAATTGATTTTTTGCACAAAGGGAAAAGAGTTTCTATTATGGAAAAGAATATTCTGGAGGGATATACCTTGTGGGGTCCACTTTCATAGGCTTCGAGGAGCCGCCGCATGCGCATGGTCAACCGAGCACCTGGTGCTGTTAGGACAAGTTTTATAATAGAGGTGGTTGTCACTTCTAATTTCATCTCTATCACCTTTCTATTAATTAAGAGGTAATCTATACAATAAGTTACCTCTAGCACACAAACCCCAATAACTTTAATGCTCTCACTTTTTTATTGAAGTGTGTAGAGGTCACCCCTTGCATGAGAGGTGGCTCCTTCACTCTCTCCTTCCTTCCCTCTTCCACATCAGGAAATGAGTCTACATGGCATCTAGGGGCAAGTGCTTAAGGGCTTATAGTACTTGCCCTTAAGTGGTGGACAGGGCTCATGGTTCACGGGTCAGCGTGTGGGGCCCGACGACCATTGACCCGGCTCATGCAGACTATGTGCACACTTGTTCACAGAGAACGGTAAGTGGACAAGGTCTACCGTTATGGACCTGGTGGTGGACCCCATGAATGGGCCCACGTGTTAGTGACTCTGGAACGGTGGACTGAGCGCGCGTCGGATGGGAACAATGGGTCCCACTCATAAGTAACTCAAGGATTAAAAGGAAGTTTATTTAGAAATTATAAAAACTGGACCCATATGTCATAGAGACATTGGAGGGGATTAGGAGAACAATTACTGTGTACAGCATGATGAGAGACCATGGATCCCACCTATCATTGCCTCTTCTCCTTTTCTTTTCTCCTCTCTTCTTTTCGATTTCAACACTCCTCTCCTCAGTGCTCACACTCTCCCTGCCCGAGCGAGAGAGATCCAGGCGCGACAAGGGCGGAGGACGGCGGAGCTGAGCAGTTGGAGCGAGGAGGTCGCTACTGGGGTAGCGGGGAGGAGGCGGTCACACGGGCGGTGCTCAACCTGGCGCGACTGCGGCCCGGATCGAGGCAAAGTCAATAGTGGTAGCTCTGGTGGCTTTCCAAACAGGGGGGGGCGACAGTAGCAGCTCCGCTGATGGAGCCCTAGGTTCAGGGCGACCAGCGAGCAGGCGGTTGCAGATCCGGTGCGGGGTGGCTGAGCGCGGTGCCAACCTAGTTGGGATGGCAGAGGTGGCAAGTTGCCTTGCCAGGAGGTGGTGGCGGTGCTGGTGGCTAGCTGGCTCAGGAAGGGATGGCGCATCGATGGCGTTCAACCGAGCAATGAGCGGGTATGGCAGCGTGACTCAGAGCGCACCTAAGGCGCTTGTCCAGGAGCATCTTGGGCTAGCTGGTGATGTGTGAAGTTGGCAGCGGCGACGGGAAGGGCGAAAGGAGGAAGACGGCAAGGTATAGAGGCTTTTATAGCCAGGGCTAGTGGATGCAGGAGCTGCGATGGCTTCGGGGTAAAGGAAGGAGGCATGATGGCACAAGGGAGCATGGACAACGACAGTACGAGCTCACCCCTTCATCTTGAACGCACGGCCGCGGTAGCTGGAGCAAGAGAAGGCGAGACAGTGGACTAGGCGCAGGGGCGTTGACACGGCGTGGACGTCAAGGCTAATAAAGACGGGGCGAGGTGAGGTGTCATGTGGCTATAGCTTGGACGGCGTCGGCGTGGGACCGCGTGATGATGCCTGCGATAGTGTGGCATATAGGGCGGCGAGGAGGTCCTCGGCTTGGGGCCCGCATGGTTGGCGGGTTTGATGAGGAGGAAGGTGGAGGTGGCCAGGCGGGGAGGCACGTCCACAATCTATCGCAGAGTGACACGGCATGGCACTGTGTGGCGTGGTGCAATGCGGGGATGGGGCACAATGGCTCTGTGTTGTGCGACGTGGTTAGGTGGTTGGCAGCCAGCCACAACGACAGGGATGGCAGTGCGGTCACACGGGCGAGTGAGCTGCCTTTCTAGGGCAAGCTCAACTCCACTAGCTGGGCCGGGTCAATTGGACCAAGGGAGGAGGGGGAAGGGATGGGCCATCCTGCAGAGGGAAGAGGGTAGGGGTGTCTGGACCGGGGAGAAAGAGATAGAGGGGAATAAGTTGGCCTAGGGAAAAGAAAAGGTAGCCAACTGGAAAAATAATGTTTTAGAATTTATAGGAATTTCAGAGATTGATTTTTTTAGAGATGTTGTTGTAATTGTAAATGGACTTTGGAACTCATTATTCTAGGATCTTTTAGATGGACTTTGGATGATTGATTTGAGATCTAGAATGGAACCAAACCAACATTCAAATAAGAGATAAAATTTATAAATTAAAATATGTATTCAAAATAGGTTTTAAACTTGAGCAAAAATCGGGATTTTACAAACCTCCACAGATCAATTCCACACAACTGGTACGAAAGTGATTGCACAACCATATAGATGATTGCACAACCATATAGATAACGACCGTCAATGAAAATAATTTAAAAGAATTAGTAAAAATAATATTAGATAAATCTCTCAAGTTCAGAAAACATAGGCTAGATAGACTACCATGTCGATGTAGTAGTAGTACTACTACTACTAACAATAATTATAACAAAAACAATAACAATAACAATAATGTGGAGGATGTGAATGTCGATGTAAATGTGGAGGATGTGTGTGATTTTTGTTATATTCTGTGATTTCTATACATGTTTTCAGGAAATTAATATTCGGTACTCTAGGAAATATATTTTTTATGCATCAGAACTATTATAGGTGCCGGCACCTATATAAGGCATCCACGTCGTCCCCGAAACCACTATAGGTGTCGGTTTGTGTGGAGAACTAGCACCTATAATATAATACCCATAGGTGTCAGTTAAGCAAATGGCACCAATGATGACTTGAGTCATTGGTGCTGACCAATAGTTCCCGGCTTCCAAACTGACACATGAGGGTTTTCAAACCGACGCCTATAACATTTTCTGTAGTAGTGGTAGCTAGCGAATTGGCCACGTATGATTTGACCAATTATATATATACAATGTAATTACACTTTAAATTTATTATATCTAGATTTGATTTTTTTTTTGAAAAAAGAACTGTTAAATGTTGTATGGTTAATTACCTTTTGTTTTACTATCTCAATATGAAATATGAAACATTGTATCGCCTAGCGCCGTTCGTCTAAAAAACAAAAACATAGTTCATCATACTAGACTAGTCAGCGTTAAGGGTTAAATTATAAGTATAGTAAAGTAGTGGTGTCTATTGATGTTGTCGTTAACTTTTGAACACACGTTGGATCAATTGTCTTATTTAAAATTTTGTGCAAATACGTATGATATAAATCATGCTTAAAGTATTTTTAGTTCTAAAATAACTCACAATAAAATAAATCATAATTTTGTAATTTTAAATAAAAAGAACGGTGAAACAAGTATTTAAAAATCAACAATGTAAAATATTAAAGGGAAAATTGCAAAAACCATCCCATAGGTCACTTGAAGTTTGACATTCCACCCCATAAGTCATTTTGTTGCAAATACCCATCCTCTACTAAGTTTTATTACAAAAACCACCCAATGCGCACGTGCTTAACCGAATAAGTTCGTTATTGCTGATGTAGGTTTACCACAGGCTAAGCTAGCCAAATCAATCTTGTCAAGTGATTGCATCAGGCTTATTTTCCTTATTGCATATAGCAAAACTCAGTATGACAATGTTTAAGCTTTCGTAACAATTTTATTTATGGAATCTCATTAAAAAAAGTGTCAAGAATACTCTAGAAGTATATAGTTTTGGTAAAGAACATATTGATGACTCCTATTTTATAAAAACACGTTGATTCGATTAAACATGTGTTTACTAGAGTGGTTTTTGCAACAAAATTGAATAGGTGGGTGGATATTTGCAACAAAATAACTTATAGGGTGGAATGTCAAACTTCAAGTGACTTAGGAGAGGTTTTTGCAGTTTTCCCCATGTTAAAATAATATATTAAAATAATATGGCGGTAGTAATCTTGGAAATGCTTAATTTCCATTGATTCGAACTGTAGTTGCACGCGCGCGACAGCGCTAGCTGTCCCCACTCCCCACCCATCCTGCTTCCTGGTGAAGCTGGTTTCCTTCCCTGCTCATCGTCTGATCGCCACGCAAGCTGCCACGTCGCCGGCGGCGCGCGAGAAGCTAGGAAGAGACGTCCAAACATCGACGATCCAGCTGAGAACACGCGCGACATCCCTATATATACCCATACACACCCCTCCCCATTCTCCGCATCACAATCGATAGGTAGCTAACTACTCCATCTAGCTAAGACCCGTAGTGTATAGTAGTCAAGATCAATGGCGTCCCGACGCCTTGCCCCGCTGCTGGTCCTACTGCTCTCGTCCAGCCTCGCCGCCGGCCAGAGCACCGGCGACACCGTCGTGTTCTGGGGCCGGAACACGGACCAGCTCGAGGGGTCCCTCCGTGAGGCGTGCGACACCGGCCTCTACACCACCGTCATCATCTCCTTCCTCAGCGCCTTCGGCTACATCCCGGGCACCTACAAGCTGGACATCTCCGGCCACACCGTCTCCGCCGTCGGCCCCGACATCAAGCACTGCCAGTCCAGGGGCATCCTCGTCCTCCTCGCCATCGGCGGCCAGGGCGGCGAGTACTCCCTGCCGACCTCCCAGGCGGCCGTCGACCTCGAGGACTACCTCTGGAACGCCTTCCTCGGCGGCGGCCGCCCCGGCGTCGCCCGCCCCTTCGGCGACGCCGTCGTCGACGGCATCGACTTCTTCATCGACCAGGGCGCCACGGAGCACTACGACGAGCTGGCGCGGCGGCTGTACGCGCACAACAAGGACTACAAGGGGAGGCTCGGGGTGATGCTGACGGCGACGGCGAGGTGCGTGTTCCCGGACCAGCGGCTGCAGGCGGCGCTGTCCACGGGGCTCTTCTCGCGGATCCACGTCAAGGTGTTCGGCGACGGGCGGTGCGCGTCGAGGAGGGAGGAGCTGGAGAAGTGGATGGCGGCGTACCCGCAGAGCCGCGTCCTCGTCGGCGTCGTCGCGTCGCCGGAGGCTGACAGGGACGGCTACGTGTCGCACAAGGATCTCTACTACGACGTGCTGCAGTTCATCAACAAGCTGCCCAACTATGGGGGCATCATGGTCTGGAACAGGTACTGGGACAAGAAGACCGGATGGACGGCTGGTAATGAGCCTGGTCTCCTGGATCAGGTTCTGTGATGGACGGCTGGTAATTAACCAGACCTTGATCCATTTTCACTTTGATCACTGATCACTTCACTGGATTCATGCACGAGCTACTACTAGTACGTGCACAAATAAAGTAAGTAATGTCATGTGACGTGCATGCACAAATAAAGATGGAAATGATATGATAAAAGATTGGGGTATGTGTGTGTGTGTGTGTTGGATAATGTAATGTAATGCACAAATAAAGTGAGGTGATCAGGACGGGCAGGCTTACTTTCTTCTGGGTGATATGTTGTATGTATTTTGTTTTATTGGATTGGAATAAATATATATATATATATATATATTTCATCGCCAGATATATATTCTCCCAAATCCAAAATTTTATTAATTCCGTGTATACTATTGTGGATTTCCTCGAGGATGGATGCTTGTCACCGACAAGTGCTATCTTGTCCATTTCGTAAAGGCACAATCTTCAAATTGTAAGCCGATCGAAACTGGTCTGTTGCTACATGGCTAGCTAATTTAATTAGACGGACATGTTTCATGTCTACTTGTCGACGTTAGCTAATTTATGCACGCCACTATATAATTCTATGATCGAGTTAAGTACTGTAACAAGACCAAATGAACATTGCATTTTACTAAGACATGACTTGTATCTTTGAGAACCTTATTCTTGAGGAATGAGGAAAACGATATTTTGATATCAGTTCAATTGGACCAATATATTTTGTTTTTGGAGAGTAAGTATCAGCCAAATAAGACCACGTGGGAGGTATCATTTTTATGCTTCTAAGAGTGCCACATAAATAACAAGGCATTTAATTCATTATATTAAAATAGTTCGTACAATACATAGTGTTATTTTTGTTGTTTCATAAGTAGTGCATGCAAGAGATAAATTGTATTAGAAACAGTGTAGACATAGTTCCATCTACATGAAACTTATTTCTCTCACGTCATTAATTCCCTGCCACATCATAAAAAAATGGTGACATGCCACCCTATTTAATGAGTATGAAACTCTCATTGGGAATGGCCTAATGCAAATTTGATCGGTCACTGTTGACTATTGAAAATCAAGAAACAATATTGCAAAGTTAATTAACAAATTGAAAATCTCACCACACATCTTACGTTTTTTAGACCGTTAAATATGCTTTGAAATTCGTACAACCCCTGAACTTTAACTCTCCGTCACCCTTCGATTCCTCGCTATCTCTCCGTCACCCTTCGATTCCTCGCTATGGCCAACACTTCTCCGTCCATCCTTCACCCCGATCCCCCACCTCCTTTGTCACCTAGTCTTGCCAGTGTTGAAAGCAGCCAGCGAGGCCCGCCAGACCTCCTTCCTTCTTGTCTCTCCACCCCCATCAAGCTAGCAGTAGCCTTGTCCATACAGTCTTCCTTATCTTCGACAGCTTACCATCGCCGGAGACATCAGCGTTACCCACCTCCTAACTACTCGCTCCACTTTGCTTCCACCGCCAACACCGGTTTATAGCACGCTGCAAATCTTGTGGCTTAATGCATGCATGTGCTAGCTACTACTATAAATAAATAATTTGTCTAATGTGATGCACGCACGAACAAAGATCGAGATGATATGATAAAAAATATTAGTGTGTGTTGGATAATGTTATTTAATGCACAAATAAAATGAGGTGATCAGGACGTGCAGGCTTACTTCCTAGCTTGTGAATGATGATATGTTGCATGTATTTTATTTTATTGGAATAATATATATTAAATCCACATATTCTACCAAATATTGCAATTTTATTCCGTACACACTATTCTGAATTTCCTTGAGGATGGATACTTCTCACCAATAAGTGCTTGTCCATTTCATAAAGGTACAATCTTCAAATTTTAATGGATCCTTTGCAACAAAGGGTTTGAAGGTTTGGAGGGATTCAATTCCATGGATTTTTTTTTCTTATGTGGTCCTTTGTATTAAAGGACTGAAAAAATCCTATGAAATTCTATTGAACCGACTGAAAAAATAGGTATTTTGGATAAATATTCACATAAGGTCCAACATCTTGAAGAAAAAATCATTGGCGTATATATCTCTTGTGATTTATGTGTTTTTACTGTGCTCCATCCAAACAATCATTCACCACTAAAAACGATTTTCCTATACAGGGACCATTTAGATTGCAGACAGACCATAACTAGTCGCATCTGGGAAATGGGCTCATTTTCGCATGCGGTCCATTTAAGAGGACCTCACACGAAAATGAGCCTATTTTCAGTGTAGTCCTCTTAAATGGACCGCACACGAAAATGAGTCTATTTTCAGTGTGGACCTATCAAGAGGGCCGCACGCAAAAATACCCACTCCCTCTTTTCCCTCTTACCCACAATAAAATGAGTCTATCTATCTCTTTTTCTCCTCACTCCTCTCTCTACGCGCGGCGCCTCTCCTCTCCTCTCCGCGCGGCCTATCCTCTCCTCACTCCTCTCCTCTCCTACCGACGGCGGTGGTAGACGTAGGCGACGGCGGCGCGCGGCGACGGCGACAGCGGTGGGCGTAGGCGACGGCACGCGCGGCCTCCACCACGCGGCGGCAGTGGAGGCGCGGGATCCAGCGGGCGGCGGCCAACCCCCGCACGGATCCGGCAGCCGGCCGCCCTCCCCACGCGCAGGATCCGGCTCCCCTCCCCTCCCCTCCCCTTCCTTCCCTCCCCAGATCCGGCGGAGGGGAGGGGCGTCGGTGGCGGTGTGGCCGGAGGGGAGCGCGGATCCAGCAGCAGGCAGCGTGGAGGCCGGCCGGAGTGAGGATCCGGCGGCGGGCGGCGCGGAGGCCGCCACCGATGACAACGAGGACGGGAGCATTGTCCTCGGCCAGCGATGACAATGAGGGTGGGAGCGATGTCCTCGGCCGACGAGGAGGAGGAGGAGGAGGAGGAGGAGGCAGCGGCCGGGAGGTGCGGCGGCAGCGCCGATTCTAGGGTTTTTATTTTTTTGAAATTTTTTTTTTTTTGGATTTTTGTTTTTCCGTGTAGGTGACATAAGCACCCGCACACAAAAATTGCGATATTTGCAGACCCTTGGGTGCGTGCGGGCGGCCCACCCACACGAAAACCGGTTTTGACCGCACGCGAAAATCTTTCTCGTATTAGTGATTACTGATGTTTTTCTGTATCTTTTTCAATCCATTGGTTGTGAAGTGCGATGGCACTTCAATTCTATATTTTTGCTATTACTATAAATTGAGAATGCTGCATTTCGATGAAGCCTTAAGGCCCTGTTTAGTTCATACCAAACTTCCCCCGAACTCCCAACTTTCCATCACATCACATCACATCCAAAATTTTCCTACTCACATAAACTCCTAACTTTTTTTTCCAAACTACCAACTTTCCCTAAACTTCTCCCCAATTTCAGGAAATAAACACAGCTAACTGACTTGGGCCCAATTCAGATTATTGAAACGAATCATTTGTTATATGTTGTGAAAAAAAATAATCAAAAAGCATCTTTCTAGTAATAGACCACTTTTTTAAACTATATATACGGGTAATTTTTAAAAATATTTATTCTATCTCTATAATCAAATATCCATTCATTAATCTAAATTAAATAGAGACAGAAATATCTGACATCTACTTGTCCATTAGCTAGTATCTGTGTACCAATGTATATATAATTCAACAATTGAGTTAGGCCTTGTTTAGTTGGGGAAAATTTTTGGGTTTGGTTGTCACATCGGATATATCGACACACATTTGAAATATTAAACATAGTCTAATAACAAAACAAATTACAGATTCCGCTAGGAAACTGCGAAATGAATTTATTAAGCCTAATTAATCCGTCATTACGATGAAACCATCTTTCGTGGAAGCCATTTTGGGTTTTCGCTGGCAGAAATTGCAGCCGCCACAAAGTAAAGACCAGTGAAGATGTAGATCTTCACTAGCAGTTATCTACCGCCAGCAAATAAATATATTCGCTGGCGGCCGACTAAGGCACAGCTTCTAGCAAAGACATATCTTCACTGGCGGTAGTCTTAGGACGGCCGCCAACGAAGATATTTCTTCGCTAGCGGAGGACATAGGCCAGCCGCTAGCAAAGAAATATATTCGCTTGTGGTAGTCTTAGGACAGCCGCCAGCGAAGATATTTCTTCGCTAGTGGCTTATTGATTTTTTTTGACACTTGGCCCGCTAGGAAAAATGCCCAAAGGGTTCTGGGAAAGGACACGTGGCCCGACAGCGAAGATAGGAACCGTCCGACTTCTGACATGTGGCCTACCTGTGAAGATGTAATATTTTTGTAAAACAAATTGAAACAATATTATATTTTTTTTCTTTTGTTTGTTCGTGTATTTCAGAGTCACACGTGGATGATATAACTAATCGAGCTATCGATAGAGTATGTTATCTTTCACGTATTTTAGAGCAACACGTGGAGTATGAAGCAGAATAATATACATATATAATTTCGAAGCACCTATATATGTACGTTGACAAAATTCGATCGACGACATATACAAATATTTGAATGTCTTACAAAACCTACCGATGACATATACAAGCTGCATCCAGATCATGACAAACCATAGCTATATTAAACTCCTGCTCTAGTTAGATAGGGATTCGTTCTCCGGCAGGTCCAAAACTCCGTCCTTGTCGAAAAACCTCCCAAGCTGATGTGCGCACTCATAGTGGATGAAGTAGCACATGTCCCGTTGTATGTTCTCCATGGATTTATCATCGAGCTCTCTTTCAAACTTGGGAAATTTTGGAAGCTGCATCCAGATCACGACAAATTAAGGAAATTATTGTCACGACCGGAATTAACCCAACGGGCGTTCCTTACGTGCGTGTATTATTCCTTGTCCCAAGAGGCAAGGTACACCAAAAGTTGATACATTTCAGAGTTTATCAAGCGGAAGCGTAAATAGTTAATTTATTACATGGGCGGCGAAGGCCCAGCACACACAAAGACAAACGGGAAACAGCGGAAGACTAGGGCGACGACCACAGGCGCTTGACGGCAGGCACGAGCTAAACACCAAAGCCTTCATCTTCCAGGGGCTCCTCTTCTGGGTTTGGAAAAAATTGAGCAAGACTAAGTACAACCACCGTACTCAACAAGACACACCCACAAGTGCAGGATAAATGCAAGGGAGTACAAGGGGGTTATAATATAAAGGGTTAGGGTTTGCAGTAAACAGCATTAAAAGACACTTAGTTGCTCAAAGCTATTTTGTAAACACGATTCCAGAGCTATACAATATTATTAATCAAGGCCGTGAACCCACACGAACCTGCCTTAACCCAAGGCCTACGATGATTCAGACCGAACTGGCAACCCGACCCTGGGTCCCAGCTCGTCCCA